CCCCCAACCACCCCCCAATAAAGCCATGGCTTCTCGCAGCGGGGCTCTCGCTGACCCACATCTCTGCCCCATAGCGCAGCACTTGTGGGGCACAGAAACCCCCCCTCCCCAGCCCCACGGCGCAGCAGCTGTGCCCCAACTTTTAATGTGGGTTTGGGGGTGGGGGCGATGCCAGCTTATGGGGCGGCGATTCCAACTTGTGGGGCGGCCGTTCCAACTTAGGGGGCAGCCGTTCCAACTTATGGGGTGGCAGTTCCAACTTCTGGGGCATCCATGCTGACTTATGGGGCATCCGTTCCAACTTATGGGGCAGCTGTTCCAACTTATGGGGCATCCATGCTGATTTATGGGGCAGCTATTCCAACTTATAGGGTCTCCATGCTGACTCATGGGGGAGCTGTTCCAACTTATGGGGCGGCTGTTCCAACTTATGGGGCATCCATGCTGACTTATGGGGCAGCTATTCCAATTTATAGGGTATCCACGCCGACTTATGGGGCAGCCATTCCAACTTATGGGGCAGCTTTTTCAACTTCTGGGGCATCCATGCTGACTTATGGGACGGCAGTTCCAACTTATGGGGTGGCAGTTCCAACTTAGGGGGCATCCATGCTGACTTATGGGGCAGCTACTCCAACTTATAGGGTATCCACGCCAACTTATGGGGCAGCCATTCCAACTTATGGGGTGGCAGTTCCAACTTATGGGGCATCGACGCTGACTTATGGGGCATCCGTTCCAACTTATGGGGCGGTAGTTCCAACTTATGGGGCGGCAGTTCCAACTTAGGGGGCATCCATGCTGACTTATGGGGCAGCTATTCCAACTCATAGGGTCTCCACGCTGACTTATGGGGCGGCAGCTCCAACTTATGGGGCGGCAGCTCCAACTTATGGGGCAGCACCTCCGTCCTTTCCGCCCCCTCGGAGGATTTCGGGGGGCACCGCCTTCATCCGAGCCAACCTATGCGATATAATGGGGGGGGGCTGCGTTAATAGAGTTGGGGGTCTCGGGGACCCCTCCCCTCCTTCCCCCCCCCATAAGTGCGCCCCCCAAGTGGCCTCACCACGCTCTGACGTTGTGGGGCAGCCGGGGGGGGTCGCGGTGTTTGCAGTAGCAGCGCTGTGTGCAGTCGCCCCCCACCTGAAATGGGGCCCAGCGGGTGGGGGGGGGCGGCTCCGGCGGGACCCCCGACTCCGACTTGGGGGGCTCCGACTTGGGGGGCGCGGAGCCGTGGGGCCCACGGGGGGGTTGGGCTT